AGGTTGCCCTCCGGCTATCGAGGCAGAGGCGAGTGCGGGACGCCGAAGGATGCCCTGAAGGGCAGAAGAAGGGCGCTCCGGAGGAAAGAAAAAACACGCGCGCGCGCGGTTATCCGTGACGATCTCGGGGCCCGGAACATTCCCCCGCCCCTCCGGCAGCCCTCCGGGCAGCCATCGTCGCGGCAGCCGCCTCTGCCTTTCCCGCCGGTTCGTATATTTGTTTACACAACGACATTTATAGGAGAATCTTCTACGTACTGCAAATAACGTGGCGCAACACCGGCCCTAGTGTTTCTCGTTTACCACCGCGCGCGTATATGTGTGTATGTGTGTGGAACATAGATTTCTTTGTACAATCAAATTCTGCCGCGCGCGCGCGCTTCTAAGGCGGCGCACACGTCACATACACGTTTCGCGAAGCCGACACGTAATAAACGCGCCCGGAGATTATTGTCAAACGCGGGATATTATTGAACACGTTTGCTTCGCCGTGAAATGTATATACGCGAGGCCGACACAACAATGCCGTCGCGTTCCACGTGTTTGCGTGTGTGTTACGAGAGAGCGGAATGAATTTGTATGTTACTCGAGGCTTGCGCCTCTTTTTGCTTTTTAGAACGTCGAGAAATAATAATAATATTGAATAAAAATGGCTCTAGACTCGTCTACACGTTCCATGCCGCGAGCTATACGAGTTCAAGTGATTTTGTTAATAGCAAAGTTGCGGAAATTCGGTCGAATTCTAAAGCTATTTGTGATCTGTATTATAATAATAATAGACTGCATAATAATGGACTGTGTAATTTTTCAAGGCAATTGCTCCATCTCGAATTTTCTCAAAGGCTCGATAAAATTGCAAGTGTCAATATATAAGTGAAAAATTCCAATCTCGAGTGATGTTTTTATCGCATACATTTTAGAGTAATTTTTTTGCTCGCTCCAACAGCGCGCCATTTCTTCAGTTAAATAATCCAAGCATCGTCCACGCGCTCCTCTAATATTATATAATTCTATCTAATATTTTAATTTATCTAATATTTTACTAATTTATTAATTATGCTAATATATTAGTAGTATATAATACTATATAGTATATAGAAATACTACTATATATATATATATGAACTAACAATAAATTAAACCACGGTTCAAAAAATAGTTTACTCTTCAACGGTCATCAGTTAATCGACGGTTAAACTTAATAAGCGACGGCACGGAACGTGTTCGGACAGAACGGAGCACGGAATTCGAGTTTCGCTCACAAAAAGAGGAAAAAAAAACAGAATAGAGGTGTATCGTGAATTGTCAATGAGAACGCTCGAGCAATCGATTCAAGGTAACAAGTCTCTGACGGTGAAAACAACGACCATCCCCATCAATGCGAGCACTTTTGTCAAAAATTCTTCTCTGGTTTCTCCACAAAAAGAAAAAGACGAAAGAAAAAATAGGAGAAAAGAATGTAAAAAAGAAGAGAGGGGAAAAAACCCAAGAAAAGAGAGAAATCGACGGAAATCTCTCGTCCGCTCTCCGAGAAAGAGAAAAAAAACCTCGGCCGACGCAAGGTTCGAATAAAAGAAAAAAAGAAAAGCGGACAACAAAACAAAGGAGACGTGGAAAACGCGGTGTGTGCAGCGACATCGTAACGCGATATGCGCCGGCTGTTTGCGAACGAGACGGGCTTGGATTACGAAATCATTGAACATTGCGGTAGGACTAGCATTGACGGAGAGGTCGCTCCTCTCTCTCCGATATTACCTTGTGTGTTCCCGCGTTGGATCACCTTTTCCGGGGATCGGTTGGTCCTAAAACTCTACGCTTTCAAAAAAAAAAGAAAAAAAAACGAAACAACGCGCCGCGCGTCGAACGCCTGCCCTGCCTCTATCCCCTCTCCTAACAAGCTCTGCCTGATCTCGAAAGGTCTCTCTAGGCGTCCCCCTTCCCCCACCACGCCGCCGCGCGGCGGACAGAGAAACAACGAAGAAGCCACCGTCGTATGGCGCGCGCGTCTGTCGCCGTCGAAGTTTCTCGAACCGCAAAGCTCGAGTTGCATCTGCCAACGACAGCTGCACGGTTGCGCGCCAGCAGATGCGCCGGATTCGAGGAAGCGGCAGCTGTTTGCCCACCGCTCTATTCTCTCTCTCTCTCTCTCTTTCTCTCTTTCCAGCGGCGCCGAATTACCGGACGGTTCTGCCGAGAACCGTCTACGCGACCGCGGTTATGTGAACGGAGCCTAACGAAATCGATCGCGTTCGAATCGTCGCGCGGAATTTTAATTTCGAACTTCGCACCGACGGAGTTCAACGAACCGTAAATTATTATAATATATAGGCCACCGCGAGAATCTGGGTCGATCGCTTCGAAATCATCCGCCTAACCTACAAAAAGCCGTCTCTCAGCGCGCGCGCGGTTTCTCGCCGGATATAATATCTCTCGAGGAATAAATTGTCCGCCGGCCGTTTTTCCTAGCTTCGTCGTCGCGAGCGCATCTCTGGTCCGTCGAGCAATTATGCTCCTCTCCCGGAGAGAGCCTATCGAGCTCAAGGCCGCCGGGTTTCCGTGGGAACGAACTCGGTCCGAATCGGTCGCACGCTTCAAACTCGAGTGGAGAGATCCGCGAGACGAATATAATGCGAACACGCGCGTAAAGGAAAACATGGCGACGCCGCGAAGCACGTGTGCGCGCGCACACGTTTCACCGATAACCTCTGGGGTGTCGCGCACCGCGATGGAAATAATCTGCCTCGGAAATTCTAAATAGGCGTTTCGACCGCACGTTTTCTGCGACGCTACCGTAACTGTGTCAACGCGCGATATGAATTATGCAAACGGTAGACGCGCGCGCGAGCGAGTCGCATCTTCGCCCGATTTTCTTTCCTTCTTCGCCGACGGAGCAACGCGACGAGTCCGGTGCGCGCGGCGGCGACGGACTCGCGACCGAGAGAGGCGGCGCGGCGCGGGCTTTTTCTTCGCGATTTGCGTGCGATGCGCGCCGCGCGCGGCGACGGTTCCCGAACGCCGCCGCCGCGATATCGCGCGCGCGAGAGAGCGTCGTGCCGTCACGATCCAATTTCTCGAAAGAGCGCGCTGCTTCCAAAGTAGAAACGGAAACTAGGACACGCGACGTCGCGGGACCGGCCGGCCGGCCGATTGGCTGGCTTCTCGTGCGCGCCGTTATATCCTTTTCTCAAGCTCTCGTGTTACCGTGCGGGGCTTGAATTTCTCATAGCAACAACGCGATTCCCGTCGCTTCCTCCTGTACGCTACTTCTTACCGGCCTAATTTCGATCGGATTCGACCGGATCGCGTGACCCTTCTTGCACTCGTGGCACTAAAGGCGACGTGAATTTTTTTTTAGAAAATATAGAAAAATTGCGGTACTTTGTCTATTCGATGAAGTGAAACTCGGGCGGTATTTCGACGCGATTATTTATTTATTTCAACGACGGACGAATTCTTCGACGACGGCAGAGTCTCTCCAGACTCGATTAGAGAGCGCCGAGGGTCAATATAGCGTTGAAAGCGCGCGTATATCTCGTTCGGGAATGTGAGGACGCCATCGAGAGACCTGCCCGCCTACAGTTAGAAGCCGATGATCGTACCTTGCGACCCGGAAGTCGAATATTAATTAGCCGAACTACCGCGAAACGTACTTCGAAGTTCTCGCGAATATATGCTCGGTTATCGTTTTCTTCGAAACGTTTCTATTTCCGAATTAATGTCGTAGCTCTCTCTCTCTCTTTCCCTCCCTGCCTCCTCTCTATGTCCCTTTCTTTTATCATTTCTCTCTCTCTCTCTCTCTCTCTCTCCATCTGACTTTGTTATTCCTAGATATATACCGATCCGAGATACTGAAAAATATTTGTCGCGAGATACGGCGACGCGATAAACGAAGAGGAAAAAAAAATGTGCGTTCGTTCTCGTGTTTCTCCTTGGGATCGGTGGTCGGCGGCGGCGGCGGCGGAACGCGGCTCGTCCGGCCGGCCGCGCGGCCGACTTTTTCCTTTGCAGAGGAGAGAGAGGTCGCAATATCGCGTCCCGAGGCCAAACGATAAAGACCAGCCACGATGAAAAATGGGTGGAAAATTGCGGGCGTGATCGATATAACGTCGCGCGCGCACGTTTGCGATAACGTGGATAACGAAGGACGGCCGAAGGCGTCGTCGAAGAGACCCGACCGAAGCAAAGAAAGAGAGCCGCCTCCCTCCTCTTTTTTGCGGTTTTGTGTGTTCGTGGCGGAGTCTTTTTCCTTCGTCAACCTCGCGGCCCGATACCGCGAAATACAAAAAACAGAAAACGAAAAACTAACGGGGGGGAGAAAAAAACAAAAACAAAAATAAAGAGTGAGACGAAAAGATAACAATAATAATAATAATAATAATTAATAGTAATAATAATAATAAAGAAACTGAGGAGTGAACGGAAAGCTACATGCCCTAATTCATAGAATGTGAAAAGCTCTTTCAGAGACCGTGCTACTCTTGAACGTACCGGCATCTAGGTTGAACCACGTTATTCGACAGTGAAAAACAAAAAAAAATAAGTCCTGTCACGCCTGCGCAATGGGCACTTCTCACTTTATGGCTGGCATATGTAGATTGCAAAATTGCTTTTTGTCACACACGGGGAACCGCATCATGGTAATGCGTCGTTAAGCTACTAACTTTTTGTTTTCTCACCATTTTTCTTTTCGTCAATCTCTCTCTCTCTCTCTCTCTCTCGCTCTTTCTCTCTCTCTTTCTTTCTCGGTTTGTTTATATTTTCTCTGATCGTAAAAACTCCGTTTTAAATAAACTTTTGTGTCTCGTCAAACGAATACATTTCCGTGTACTTGTCCCCGTATATATATATAGATATATCATCTCGAATCAAGGATCATCTTGGAAGGAAGATACCGAATGGAAGATGACTCGTGTGCACGCTCCAGTGAGCCTGCGCCAATGTCGAGTGCCAATTGTTACGGCGAGCAGGAGCCTGATGAAAAATGGTGTGGGTGAGCCTACCTTGAGAGTCGCGGTGGGCCTGGGCGGCCTCCTGGGCTGCAAGAAAAACTTCGTCTGTCGTTCCTGGAGCTCCTGCCACTGAGCCCACGACACCTCCCGTGTTACTTCGATCTCCGGTAACATGCCACGCGCCTATACCTGCTAATGAAACAAAAAGAACAACCGTACTCGTAACACCGTTATCTGCTTTGGACAGAGCTGGTAGAACCAAGAAATTTAATAAAATAAAATAAAAATAAAGATAAAGAGAAAAATTAAAAGAAAAAAATTAAAAGAGAAAAAAAGAGAAAGAGAAAAAAGAGAAAGAGAAAAAAAGAGAAAGAGAAAAAAAGAGAAAGAGAAAGAGAAAAAAAAGGAAAAAGATAGAAAGAAAATAGAAGCAAGTTCACAGGCGAATAAAGTGAGTCGAAATTTGCCACTCGCAAAAGTTAAGGGGTAAGATAATACTTTATTCGCAATTCATTCCCGTCGAGGCGGGAACGAAAAATACCTTCGGATCCTTGGACAATTCGAGAGAAGTAGTGAAATACAGGGTATATTCGTCGCGTTCGAAAGCGTTTTACACATTATCCAGTATTAGTTTTACGTTTTTTGTTTTTTTTTTGTTGTTTTTTTTGGCTTACAGAAACGACGAGACCCGAGAGAGACATTATTTGTTATTACACAAGGTACATAATCATTCGATTATACCTGCTTGGGCTAATTCCTCGCGACAGAATAAATATTCAGCAGGATATAAAACACCGGAAACACCTTAAACTCCTATTTTTTTATTCGCAGCCGTACATAATACACCGCCGTCGTCTACACGCATACAAACATACGTCGAACACTTTTACATGCCTCGAATGCTTTTTTTTTTTACCTAAATTCGATCCTACACTTGTTTCAACACTTAGAACAGAGAGAGATAATACTGATTAGTTGTCATTTTCTTTGTACACCGCCGGTGATCGAGGGGTAGGGGTGAGGGGGGATGATGATCGTACGTTTTGAAAGCTCGCTGGAGCCGAGGAGAAGTTCGATTCGCAAATTGTGGGTGAACATGGGGGTGAGGAGGTAGAGGAAGGATATGCCCCCATCCGTGGGGCAAGTAAATACGACCGATAAAATATATTACTCTTAGCCATACACAGAATGGTAAGCACATATAGACTCCATGTATCCAACAAGAATTAAACTTATAAATATATATATATATACTTTTTGTTTTTTTGCTGTTGTTGTCGTTTACCATTTACGGTTCTCTAAAGCTTCGAAAAACTGAACTTTCAAACCCTGTATACGTCGGAGCACGCAGTACAAAGAACTGCCCATTGAAAAAAATTAAGTAGAAAAAGGAAAAAGAGTTGTTCAACGGCTGAGCAAATTTTGTTTTCTGTTCGACTTGTTCGCACGAAAACCAATCCGATACGCTGCTGGCTAAACTGACTCTTGTTTATTCGTACGATTCACGACAATTGAAGCAAAGCGATTATGAGACAAGAGAACAGGAATAATACTCCCTCTCTTTATCGACAATCGGTTATCGGCGATCGCAATCGTATCAAAAAGAAAAGAAAAAAAGGAAATGTTTTCTCCGCCAGAGGGGAGGGGGGAAACGAGAGAAAATAGGCAGACGTATCGAGAAACTTGAGAAACGATACACAGCTGAACAAGTCGTTATATGTTGTCTCAATCTGTTTTCAGTTCTTTCTTTCATTTTTTTTTTTTGGTTTTCCTTCTCTATTTTGGTATGTTGCTTTTTTTTGCTTTTTCTCTTTAAATCGATTAATGGGCATTTTCTCGCCGGCGAATCTCGGAAACATTGAACATCGGTTACGCAAAAAACTACTATATCAGCAGGGCGCGTGCAGCACACACCTAAGCCTGCCTAGGCTGGATCAGGTTACTAGGCTGTTGTCTCCATCTCCTCCTGCTGACGTTCAACTTTTTCAAATAGAACTGCAGGGTCGAGCGATTAATGCCGTACATCTCTGACGCCTGTGTGGTGCTAACCCCCTGCTGCAATATTGCCTCCAGGGACATTTTAACCGAGTCTAAGCTATACTTTCTCCCATGTTTGTTCTCCAGCGATTTAAGCAACGCGCCTACGTCAGCGTCTGGGCGTGGCCGCCTCGTATTCGGGGCTTNAGAAAAATTAAAAGAAAAAAATTAAAAGAGAAAAAAAGAAAAAGAGAAAAAAGAGAAAGAGAAAAAAAGAGAAAGAGAAAAAAAGAGAAAGAGAAAGAGAAAAAAAAGGAAAAAGATAGAAAGAAAATAGAAGCAAGTTCACAGGCGAATAAAGTGAGTCGAAATTTGCCACTCGCAAAAGTTAAGGGGTAAGATAATACTTTATTCGCAATTCATTCCCGTCGAGGCGGGAACGAAAAATACCTTCGGATCCTTGGACAATTCGAGAGAAGTAGTGAAATACAGGGTATATTCGTCGCGTTCGAAAGCGTTTTACACATTATCCAGTATTAGTTTTACGTTTTTTGTTTTTTTTTTGTTGTTTTTTTTGGCTTACAGAAACGACGAGACCCGAGAGAGACATTATTTGTTATTACACAAGGTACATAATCATTCGATTATACCTGCTTGGGCTAATTCCTCGCGACAGAATAAATATTCAGCAGGATATAAAACACCGGAAACACCTTAAACTCCTATTTTTTTATTCGCAGCCGTACATAATACACCGCCGTCGTCTACACGCATACAAACATACGTCGAACACTTTTACATGCCTCGAATGCTTTTTTTTTTTACCTAAATTCGATCCTACACTTGTTTCAACACTTAGAACAGAGAGAGATAATACTGATTAGTTGTCATTTTCTTTGTACACCGCCGGTGATCGAGGGGTAGGGGTGAGGGGGGATGATGATCGTACGTTTTGAAAGCTCGCTGGAGCCGAGGAGAAGTTCGATTCGCAAATTGTGGGTGAACATGGGGGTGAGGAGGTAGAGGAAGGATATGCCCCCATCCGTGGGGCAAGTAAATACGACCGATAAAATATATTACTCTTAGCCATACACAGAATGGTAAGCACATATAGACTCCATGTATCCAACAAGAATTAAACTTATAAATATATATATATATACTTTTTGTTTTTTTGCTGTTGTTGTCGTTTACCATTTACGGTTCTCTAAAGCTTCGAAAAACTGAACTTTCAAACCCTGTATACGTCGGAGCACGCAGTACAAAGAACTGCCCATTGAAAAAAATTAAGTAGAAAAAGGAAAAAGAGTTGTTCAACGGCTGAGCAAATTTTGTTTTCTGTTCGACTTGTTCGCACGAAAACCAATCCGATACGCTGCTGGCTAAACTGACTCTTGTTTATTCGTACGATTCACGACAATTGAAGCAAAGCGATTATGAGACAAGAGAACAGGAATAATACTCCCTCTCTTTATCGACAATCGGTTATCGGCGATCGCAATCGTATCAAAAAGAAAAGAAAAAAAGGAAATGTTTTCTCCGCCAGAGGGGAGGGGGGAAACGAGAGAAAATAGGCAGACGTATCGAGAAACTTGAGAAACGATACACAGCTGAACAAGTCGTTATATGTTGTCTCAATCTGTTTTCAGTTCTTTCTTTCATTTTTTTTTTTTGGTTTTCCTTCTCTATTTTGGTATGTTGCTTTTTTTTGCTTTTTCTCTTTAAATCGATTAATGGGCATTTTCTCGCCGGCGAATCTCGGAAACATTGAACATCGGTTACGCAAAAAACTACTATATCAGCAGGGCGCGTGCAGCACACACCTAAGCCTGCCTAGGCTGGATCAGGTTACTAGGCTGTTGTCTCCATCTCCTCCTGCTGACGTTCAACTTTTTCAAATAGAACTGCAGGGTCGAGCGATTAATGCCGTACATCTCTGACGCCTGTGTGGTGCTAACCCCCTGCTGCAATATTGCCTCCAGGGACATTTTAACCGAGTCTAAGCTATACTTTCTCCCATGTTTGTTCTCCAGCGATTTAAGCAACGCGCCTACGTCAGCGTCTGGGCGTGGCCGCCTCGTATTCGGGGCTTTTTTACATTCGAGGAAATGGGACGCCCAGACGGCACCGCCGCCACCACCACCCCAATTCCCTCTCGACAGAGACCGCGCTCCCGCCCCCCCACCTGCAACGAGGAAACCCAAACTAGTGTCGGCCGATCATCGCACGACCCGTTTTAACACTTAACAAACAAATAAACGATCGCGAGACCAAGCTAGGCGTGAGCCACCGATTCAACAGAACGAATCAGTGCCCCCCTTTTCATACCCCCCGCGTATCTATCTATCTATATATTTTTTCTTTGAGCACTTTTATTTTGCCTTCTAGTTTCATGATTTCACTTCCCTACGTGATTATCGTCCAATGAACATGACAACAAATTATCTCCTCCGATTTGTCGGTAGAAAATGCCAGAATTTCACAGAGCTTTATTTTATAGCTTCGATCCAAAGGATTCTTTTTTTGGATCGAAGAGTGTCACTACCGCGTGCCATTACAGAGTATTTTCCGTCGCAGAATTTTTTTTGTTTTTGTTCACAGATACAACACGGCGGAGAACCTCTCTTTTTACACGTACGAATTTTCTTTCTCTCGGTAATGGGTGGAAAAACTTGAATTTATCACGCTCCGGGCGCGCACGTTTTCGCGAATATACCCTGTATTCCGCGCTACTTAACGAAACAAACAGATTACCGTTCAAGATACAAAAACATGTTCAAGCTTACCAGGATGCTGGGAGGGGTCGTGAGACGGTCCGGCTCTGTTGTTATCGCCATCCATTTCACTGAGGTCATTCATGTCGTCATCGAGCGTCAGGTCTTCGACGCTCTCCTCCGGGTCTTCGAGATATTCAGACTTTGGCTCGATGAGACTATCATTTGGCTCGGGCTTTTCGAGTGGCAGCTGCGGAATATATTCAATAATTAGCGCAGGTGTTCCATTATCGTTGTTGTTCGGCCACGCTGATCGGCAACGCGCGCGCGCGAAAGAAATGAAACCAAGACGAGGATATGAGATAGTTGTGTCGCACCGTTTCCGCTCTATGGGTTGAGACATTGATTAACGAATAGAAGGATATAGTGCGACGATCGTTACTCTACCAACGGGCGAAAGAAACGGTTTAATAAAGAAGCAACAGTCTCCATTATAACGTTGGTGCGAAGCCAAAGAGGAATCGACGAGATAGAAAGACAGAGAGAGAGAGAGAGAATGTTCGGCATCAATTACCTGTAGCATTTCGTCCGCAGGTTTCGTCAGCTGCGTCATTAACGCTGATCTGCCAAGTGAGTCCGTGGGGTCTGCGTGCGTCTTTTCGTCTGCGACCGGAGCGATACCGAGCGCAGGGACACCCATTTGCTGAGGCATATCACTCGAATTCGATTCGTGATTCTCCAGCGAATTATCTTCACCGACGCTTCTTCTTCTAAATCTTTTTCTTTTCCTCGATGTTGGACTTTGGGAGCCCTCTCTGCAACAAAGAGACCAATTTAATATCAACGAAGTTCCAGCCGACCGCGTCGAATCGAGCTTCTTGTCGCGTATGTATGTTGTTTCTTACCTCGAGGAGAGACCCTTAGGTACTTGGGGACTGGCCGAGTCTTCAGGCAGGTCCCCTACGGAACCTTGTGCCATACCCTGCCTAGGAACTTTATTTTTTTCTATTGTTAGCCCGGAAGACGCGTGTGGAATGTCTAACGACGCTGCCATTGCTTGTGGAACGACCTTTTGTTGCCTAGAGTCCGTCTTACTGCTACCACCCGTTTTACTCTCCGATAAACCTTTTATTTGTAGAGACTCAGCGGCTTTTAGTAGCGCTGCCAATTGGTCTTGGGAGATGTTTACTTCTCCCCTGTACATGTAGTCCATCATCGCTTTTAATTCTTTAAACTTAACATCTTTGAGTATGAAGACGGGATGTTTATCATAGTGTTCGCTGAGGAGGCCCTATAACAATGAAAATACAAGCATATAACTATGGTGTGTGCACATATCTATCATGAATTTCAAAATGTTTAAATTGTCGCGAATATTTATTCCAACAATTGAGAAAATCCTTTGTTGCAGCGAGACAGTACACTAAATGTGAATAAACAGGGGATGGGCTACTAACGAATGTCGATTGTAATTTTAAAAAAAAAAAAAAAATAGTAATAGTTTGTATAAGTAAATTATCTTTCCATCAGGCCGGACTGAGTGCTCGATGCAGAATAATATTAATGAATTCAATTCTATGATGAAATTGACGAGGCAGTGGCTGCCTTCTCGAGCACCCCCACCCACAACAGGGTAAAATCCCAGGGCAAGTGCCCTGGAAATCAGCCATCTTGCTTTCTCTGTATTGATCACGAGGAACCAGGAGGGGGTTTGGGCTTTCATTTCCCCTTGCCCCTCTCAGGCTTCAGCCCAGGCAACGTTCAACAAAGGCAGCCATCTTGTTTCAATTTCAGGTTCCCCTTTTCCTCCAATTCGATTCCAGTACAGATACAAATCCCTCGGCTACGGTTGGCCGGTACAACGTTCAAAAGGAAGAAAATCAGATTAAATTTCTTTCTATCAAAATTTGTTCTATCCGTTCGCTTATTTTTTTTTTTCATTTTACCTCGAACGTTCTATCCAAGGGAAGATTTACCAACGATAGAATAAATTTTTTTTTTTTTAGACGAATCGAATATTATACAACGCAACGAAACAAAATAAATCCGAAACTATCGTTATCGGGTCCGTGTGAAATGCGATGTGTCAAACACGTTAGTGTACTGTCAATTTGAATTTTTTCAGTAAAAATCGAGATCCATTAGAGATGCACTTACCTCAAAATAGGGACTGCATGCGGAGAGAACTACTTTATGGGCCTTTAAGTATTTCCCCTCCGCCGCCAGGGTGCAGTCGACCAGCGTCCCGCTTTCGAGAAGTGTGTCGAAATTTTGGATTAGTGTGCTTTGGTGGTTGTTCCACCTCAAACAGAACTGCTGGTCGTCTTCCATTTTGTGTGGTTTCCCTCGTTTCTGAACAATCGGAAAAGAACCCGTGACGATGAGCAAAAGAAGCAGCACGAGACCCCCGGCTGTCGTTCGATTAAGGCCGTGCCTAATGCTATCTAACTGTCCTGCGGCCTATTAACGCGTACATCGAGACGGATGATACCGAATATTGCACCACGGACCGGACAAATTTCCTCTCTGGTTACGCGGATCGATATGCAACCGCGGCGAAAGCTCCGCAAGGAAGCACCGAAGCTTCCAAAATGGCCGTACGATGCAAGCGCGTCGGTCGAATCGGTCTTCTGGCCTTTTCCTTTGTGCGTGTCCTCATAACGGTAATGGGCGGCTTGGTGGGGATGATGCAGGAGGACGCGCAAGCACCGCGCATGCGCAGCTGCGCCCGAGCTGCGCACTCGATTTGCGCACTAGCTCTCGAGGCCCCTGGAATTCAGGGGCGTCTGCTGGATTCTCCGGTGCCCGAACGACGACGAGACCGAATCGCGAAAAGATTTTTCTCCCGAGGAATCTGGACGCGTTCGATTTCGAAGACGATGAATTCGAACGACGAAAACGAGCGTGTACAGTGACCGCGACAGGATCGATAAATCGTTATTATTTCGATACGGTAGTTATTCCAAGAAAGTGGAACGTTCGATCGATGTTTCTATCGAAGAAGAATACGTGATCGCGAATCGATTAAAAATGGGATTGAAATACAATTTCAATATCATCAAGGCCTCGAGAGAGACGCGTAAATTTATTCCTCGACTATGACGCAGCGTATCGGTAACCGTGGCAAAGAAATGTAAATAATGAAAATTCAATCAGGCTTATTAAAACGTTTTGAAATTATATGAAAATGTTCGTCGAACGCAGGGCTAAGTATATATAATATATATAGTTTACGTCACACAGCAGGCTTTACATCATTGACGCGCAATAAAATGGAAAATCGATTACTCGCCTCACATGCGCAACGCGTTAAGTTTCGAACACGGGTGGGATGGGGTGGGGTGGGGCGGGGTGAGGTAGGAGAAGGGAGGAACGATAATACCGAGCGGTATAAGTGTGGTAAAGATTAATACGAAATAAAACGAGCAGAGCAGAGCGGCGTTCATTGCTTACGCACGATTGCGTAATCTATTTATATTGTTATCTTGTATTGAATGTTACGTCAGATGGCGCCGAGCAACGTGTGCGCGAAACAAAAACAAGTTAGCGACAGATAATTTTTCCAACGGCATCTTACTACCGCGACCGGCGAAAAAGAACGATGCACTTTCTTCGCGCCGCCCCCCCGGAAACCACGAGAGAGAGAGGAGAGGAGACGTGGATCGCAATATGGCCGTCTACGAGGTCGCGCCCGGACAAAATGGCGATAGAAGAAAAGCTCGCGAAGGAAAAGTATATCGATCGAGAAGAGAGAACCCGTGCGCCGCCGATATCGAAGCTTCCCGTGCGAAGTACACCGTCCGGACAAACGCAGGAAAATCGCAAACGCCATACTTCCATCGGGAAAATTCGCACGCGAACCGTTCAAACGAGGCGAGGCGCGGAGGAGGACACGGTGTGTTTTCTCAGAAACACATATACAAGAGGAGAGGATCCGCCCGCGCCATGTCACCCCACCTTCAAAGATTTTCCGGCAGTTTTCTCGACGGTCCCGGGCAAAGAGAGATCACAGATTACTATACCGAACTTAGTCTAACGTTGTGGCAACACTCACCTAATTATGGGGTATAAAACAATCTAATATCACAGCAACAGGATCGATGAAAAGTGAAAAACTGCGTAAGCGTCCAAGCTCGGCGTGCGCCTCGAGCGCTGCCCTTTTCAACAATGGCGTAGCGCAACGCCTGCTGGCTTGGCCTGTACGCCGACCGTCAGAGAGCGCAGGCTTCCCCGGAAGAGGGCACACGAGAGAAGAAGAAAAAAAACGAAGGAAACTATCGAGCATGCGCTCTACTACCGAAAGCTAGGATCATCTCGCCGTGATTGGAAATTGCAACTAGAGGACGCCAACAGAATAAACGCGAACTCTTGCCGATTTTTCATTTCACGATATAGTGATATTTTACAGCGATATTTTTCATTCAAAGAAATTTAAGATTACGCGAAAATAATAATAATTCGCAATAATAAGAATCGTGTTACGACAGTGCGCACCGATCGAAATGAAAAATAACGCTAGATCTAGCATTCTATAAATATTAGAAAAGCGATAAAACGCTGCTATGTTTATCTAGCGCACTAACGCGAACTAGAGGTTAGGATTTCAAGCGGATTCGCTAAAAAAAATGTAACAATAAATACCATCGTACTGGTAATTGTACAACGTACATCGAGCTGTATTCCCCTCGTTTCGAGAAAAAAGCATCATCGAACGTGAAAAAACGCCGCGAAAAAATTGATCGCGAAAATGTGCGAAGCGTCTCTTCCCGACGTCATTAACCGGCCCTGGACCGCAACCTGGCACGCGTACGTAATGGCCGACTCGGTGGACTTGGCCACGGCAAAATGGCGAAAACTTTCGAAAAAAAGCTCGGAAAATCTGGACGATATTATCGAAAAGGCGGGGGCCGATTTAATCGAATCATGCGAATCCGGCGTAATCTCGAGCGGAATCGTTGAAATTACCTCGGAGCTCGCGAGATCACGCATTTCGAATGACAAAACCGCGTCGCTGTCGGTAAGAGCGGGGCGACCTGATTTTCCGCCGAGTTTTCGCGACAGCGAACGATACGCTTGATTAATCTAGGTGGAAAACTAGGTTGAACGCAGGCCTGAAACGTAGGAAAACGTGCGGTGTTGTAACTCACCTATATTGGCACAGTCTAAATATCACAAGAGGAAAACTTGGAAAAACTACACCGTCCCGTCCTCAGCGTGCACTAACCGAGCGTCGTGGCTTCTTTTTACACAATGGCCGTGCGGAGCTACGCGTTAACGATCGACCCGCTCCGCGAGGGGACAGCCGGGGATGCACGGAAACAGTGTGCCCCGTTGAGGGGAGACGCGGCGCAGAGACTGAGAATCGACGTTCTGCGCATCGGGCCGCGGCGGTGGGGCAAAGAGAACGGCTGTCTAGCGCAGGGTCGTCGACAGGCTTTCGGAGCCTAGTGACTATTTTTGCGCGGCATTCTGACGCGTATACGAACGGCTCGACCGAAAACAACGATCGACGGTCCTACGAATCCGTCGGTCGGTCGGAAAAACACCGTTCGCACCGTGTCGGGCGTGAACAGATCGGACGGGTTCGTTCACGCGTGCAATTCGAAATCGTGTCGCGCGATGACCGCGGCGACGACGACAACGTACCTCGCAATGTTGACAGGCCTTGCGCCACGGGAACGTCAACGCGTCCGCGCTTTTAGGTTAGGCGGTTTTCACGAGGCAAGGTTGGCAGGCCGTAAACCGATAAAAGTTGATACAATCCTGATTTTTGCCGGTCTAACATCGCGGCAACTCGTGGAGGTAGGGGCGGCTCGCGGCGTGGCCGTGGTGGGGGGAAAAGCAGATTTCCGTTGAGGGGCGCGCGTTTACCGCCGTAGCGCAGCCGTAGCGACAGGGCGGGAGAGGCGAAAGGCGGCGCGGGAGAAGTGGAAAGCCGGGAAGAGAGAGCCGACGAAGGGAAGAATCGGGGTCCACAACAAAATCGCTTAATCGCTTTGCGCCACCGTCCGCAACGGAACACGGGCCGTCCGCCGCCATCACGGTGCCCCCTAGTGTGCATTTATGTCTTTCTCTTTCTCCTTCTCCTTCCGCTTGTCCCGTCTCTCTCTCTCCCCGATTCGCTACGCCACTTCGTGCCGCGACGTTTTCACGGGCGAACCGAGAGAGTGACAGCTGCCAGTCGTCAGCGCGGTACGTGCTTTACGCGACGACTGACAATTGTCCCCGTGTGTCACCGCGTGAATACAAGTTCCGCGCGAGGATTGTTCGGCGAGGAGGCGTCTTGTCGGTTCGGAACCGTGTGCGTGTACTCTTTTCTCTCGCTCTCGCTCTCGCGTTTTTTCTCTCTCTCTTTCTCTCTACACACATCGAGTGTCATAAAACTGCAGCAAAAGTGAGTGTCTACCGCGGGCCTTGGCACAAAGTTGCCAAGAATCGGCCGGACTTTTGCTCCAGCGGTGATTTCATTCGAGCGCCAGGCTGTCATGGTAAGGTAAGTGCCGACGACAGTTTACCTTGTTATCGTCGACGGTGCGTCGCGACGCGGTTTTTTTCCGCGGAACGATCGGCACGGTTCTCATAGTCGCGTTCGCGCAATTTCTGGTGTCGAACGAAATCTTGGCGAGGCTTTTTCGTTCTGGCAAACGCGAAATAAATCGACGAGGAAGCGCCGCAAGAATTTCGCGACACAATCAACATTCGTCGTAAATCCTCGGTTCGGTTGATCGAACCAACCGACTTTTTGGCGAACACGACGCGACGTTCGCGTTTCCGTGTCGCGTGCTTCGCACGGGTATTGTTTTGACTTTCGACTGTTCGCCGTGTCCCTCGGCACAGCTGGTCAATTCGCGTGTGCGTACGTCGCGTAGGTGTGCGTGCGTGCGCGCGCGCGTGTGCGTGACAATGATCTACGACGTTTAACGACCTGTCGTACGTACGACCTGCCGACGGATTAAAACAACGTCCCTCCCCCACACACACGCGCCTCGAACGCCTCGTGGCACCACCATGAGGATTTGGAACACTTGCCGCGTGCACGTTCGAAACGCTGTCCGCCGATTACGGTAGGTCACGTGCACACGATAACTGTCCAATAATCAACGATTACGTATGCGCAGGAAACGCTTGTTTCATGTTTGCGTCGCGTATTATACGGCTAAACACAAAGGAAAACATAACCGGTATCGCGATTCAGGTTCCTTCGCGGGGACCAAGTCGGTACAACACGCTCGCAACAAATGTATTTCGAGAGTGTAAATACGCGCACACGGAGTCGCGAGAATCGTGGAAAATTCAGCGAAAGTCTGTCGATAATATCGCGGTGATTTCTTTCGATTTTTATCGCTGTTATCGGCTGCTCGTCTCTTTCCAGATATACTATAGATAATGTCGCGGAAATGGAAGGTTCCTGAGGCGATTCGAAGCAACTTTTTCCTTTGCGAAAATCTTCTCCGTGGCTTCGTTCACGAGTTATCAACGAGAAACGCTGACCAATGAGAGCGCGAGCTCGGCCGGCGCGCGGCGGCCCAGCCAACGAGCGGCGCGGAGCCCGGTTCCACTCGTTGGCTTGACCGTCTCGCGCCAAACGATCTCGCCTCCGATTGGTCATCGTTTTTCGTTGATAACTCGCAAACGAAGCCGCGAATCGCATTTTCGCAAAGGAAAAAGTTGCTTTAAATCACCTCGGGAATCTGATTGCGGATTCCTACTGTCGGATTGCGAGACATTTACGGGACACCCTGTATATATACGTACATATATTTCGCGTTTAACGCATTTCGACTAGGATTTAGTTTAATGGATTATTTAAAGGATTTTTCCTGTGTTTGTCACGCGGATGTAGAAAGATAGGGGAGAAGGAAAAGGAGAAGAGGGGAGAGCCCTGTTTTGTTCCCGACGCAAAAAGAAAGGACAAAAGTTGCGGATGCTATTTATACGAACGGTGATCGAATTAACGGCCGCGAATTCGCGCGTTTCGATAAATCATCGACGTATTACGTTTAAAGGACCGACGTGTGCGGCACGTCGTCGGTTCTCCGTGCACCTGAGATTTTCTCCGGGATACCGTGGCAGCTCGGCAGCAACGTTTACCTATACATTGTGCTCGCAGTGCCGATGATAAAGAGAAATGCTGCCTAGAAAGCAGGTCTTGACTGAATCTAGGCCACCCTGTTGGCGCGTACACATTCTCCACAATTTTACTGTTCCTTCTCTCGGCCTTGCCGCGCGTTCGTAACCATCCAGCGTAGAACTGCATCTTTTCTCCTCTTCTCCCTTCTCTTCTCTTCCCTTCTCCTCTCTCTTCGCGGGCTCTTCTCTCTCTCTCTTCGCAGGCTCTTCTCTCTCTCTCTCTCTCTCTCTCCGCCGTTCTCCTCGGTTCGCTTCTCTAGTTCTCCCTCTCTTTCGCCGCTCTCTCTCTCTCTCTCTCTATCCCTTCCCTCCGTCTCCCTCTCCCTCCGTTCGTTCTTTCTACGCTTTTTCTTTTTTTTTCCTTAGAATGACTCAAGGATCGTGTTCCGGAGGACGACCGGCTCGCAAGACGGATAAAAAACGTTTGAATCATCCTTTGAACCGTCGATAACGTTATCGAGAAACGCTGCGGCCGAAATTCTTCCTCTTTCGCGGCGTCGCGACGAACTGCTCGCGATATTTCTTTCATTTCTTCAATGTAATCGGGCCGAAAAGAGAAACGTCGGACGCATTGGAAAACGGAAGAAGAGCGAGCGCGCGCGCGCGCACGAAATTTCCGTTCGAGGGCAAACGCCGGCGAACTGCTCGCGATTTTTCTTTCTTTTTTCTTTCTTCGATGCAATCGAAAAGAGAAACGTCGGACGCAATGGAAAACGGAAGAAGAGCGCGCGCGCGCGAAATATCCGTTCGTGAGGGCGAACGCCGGTGTCCGACGACGAATACGATGATAAAACTCGCGAGGGATCGGCGGCCGCGTGGCACGGAAGGAAGGAGTCTTTTTTTTTTAATTGTGATCCCCGCGCGGCGGCGACGGTGTTCTTGAAAGAAAACCGTGACGCGATCGGCGATTTTCTCGAGAGCCGCCGTGAGCGGGGATCGCGTATATATATGACTGACAGTGGGGCGATCGAGAGCGACCTAGAAAGGTTTCAAAAGACATTTTCCCGTTCACCCACGTATAAAGCTGCCCTCTCGCCGCAAAAGCATAGAGCCACATAACGTGAAACCTCGTATAGTAATTGAGGTGGCACAAGAGAGGACGACGGAGTAGAAGGATGGGTGGCGGTGGCGACGGGGGGACGGGGGCCCAGGGCAGAAGGGAGAGGGACGAAGGAAAGAGAGAGAAAGAGAGGGAGAGAGAGAGAGGAATAGAAAAAGTCGCGTACAAGTGCTAAGAACAGAGACGGGGACCAGAGAGGGAATGAAAGGTAATGGACGCAAAGGAAGACAGAAAAGAAAGAGAACGCGGGTGAATGTATATTTCTCTAGATAGGCTATACCCGCTTCACGTATACACGTGCAGCGAGAGAGAGGGAGAGACGGGAGGAGCGCGCGCGCGAGCGCGAGTGTCCTCGCGCGGCTGTGTACGCGCGTCTCTCTCTCTCTCTCTCTCTCTCTCTCTCTCTCTGTGTGTGTGTGTATGTGTAACGCGGAGGAACACGCGCGCATAGGAACAACGGAAAGTACGGAGCATAATACGGAGAAAACGCTGGTAAAAGGAAAGAGGCCTCTCTGCCTGCCTTTCCAATCGAATCGAACGCCCCTCTCGCCTTTGTCATTTTCTCTTTGTCCTCGTTTCGGGCTCGCCGTTCTCCCGGAGAGTTCTCCTCCCTTTTTTCTCTCTCTCTCTCTCCCTCTTTCTCTTTCTTTTCCCTCCGATCTCTCTCTCTTTCTCTCTCTCTTTCTTTCTCTTCCGTCCCTTCTCCTCCGCTCTTTCTTCCTCGGTTTCTATCTTCTCGGACGGTCTCGGAGCCGCGCGCCACACAAAACAGCCTCCTCTCTCTCTCTCCTCTTTCCTCGCGATTCTCTTTCGTCCTTGTTTCGTCCTGTTCAGCCTTCCCCCTTTCTTCTCCCCCTTCGTCGTTCGTCGTTCCCGTGCGAGCAGCGTGTTTCGTGCGCTCGCACAGTGCAACAGCGTTTCGAAAGGAAAAAGGAACGAGGGAAGAGGAACGGACAGACAGACGAGAAACGGAAGAAGAAGATGGAGACGAAGAGGAGGAAGATCGAGGAGGAGGAGGAGAGTGAAAGGAGGGAGACAAGGCAAGAAATTTTTCTCGAGCCTCGCTCTCTCTCTCTCTCTCTCGACCTCTCCCGGCCTCTGCGCGTTCCTCCCTTCGTCCTCCCTTCTGACTTCCCCCGTAGCATCCTGTCTACCACCCTAACCTCGCTTCTTTCTTTCTTGCGTTTCGATCTGCCTCTGCCCACCTTTTCCTTCTCCTTTCTGCCTCCTTCCCGTGCCCCCCTTCCTCCTCGCCCCCGTCTCCTCCTTCGTCACCTCCACCTCCACCGTCAACTCCACCTCCGCTTCCACCCCCGCCACCGCCTCCGTCTCAATCTGCGCGTCTCTGCCTCCGCCGCCTCTTCCTTCTTCTCCACCGTCTCCTCCGCTTGCTCGTTCATCGTCGTCGTTTCCATCGTCGTCGTCGTCGTTGCCGTCGTCGTCGGCGTCTCCTGCTTCGCCTTCGCCGTCTCCCCCCTCCCCCTTCGTCCCCGTTCCTCCCTCGCGGCCGGTCTTTTCCGCTCGCAACCCTCTTGCCTTTCTCTCTCCCTACTCTCTTCCTCGTTCTTCCTCTCTGCCCGCTCCGCACATCCTGTTTCTTTAATACGACCAAGAAGAGAGAGGGGAACGGAGAGAGAGAGAGAGAGAGAGAGAGGAAGAGAGAGGGACGGTCGACCGCGGCGAACCGGATGGAAAAAGATAGACGGCGCGCGCGCCGGGTTGGTCGATTTTCTCCGGCATTTTTCTCTCTTCGGCTCTCCCTTGCTTCCTTGCTTGCCTGCCTGCTTGCTTGCCTGCTTGCCTGCTTGCGTAAAAACCTCTTCCACATTTGAATCGATTGTGATCCCCGCGGATCATGCTTTTGCGCTCGCGCGAACCGCGACGTGCACTACCGTGGACCAATTGGAACCATCGTTTTTTTCCACGTTCGTCCGTATTTTCTTTGATATTCTTGAGTTTTCCTACCCCCTTCCCCCCCACACACCTTTCGTCTCTTTCTTTCTCTTCTTTTTGTTCGCCGCGAAACAACTTTTTGTTCAGCATCTTTGTTATTTTGAAAATAAAGGGAAAGGCTGTTTCCGAAAACAATTGGGACTTATTATTCGCGCGGCATAGCACGTGACCCGATCATTAAGTGCGTTAAAAGATCGACCATGGAGTCCATTCCGCGTCTGACTCATCCATTTTCCGTGTTTCCTCTTTGCTCTGCCGTCTCTCTCTCTCTCGCGCGCGCGCGCTCTTTCTCTCGCTCTCTCTCTCTCGCTCTCGCGCACTCTATCTCTCTCCCGCTCTCTCTCTCGCGC